TTGTGTTGTGGCTCTTTTGTAGTTGTGTTGCGGCTCTTTTGAAGTTGTGTTGTCACTTTTACGTTTGTGTTGTGTTTTTTTCTTAGATTGTGTTGTGGCTTTTGCATTCGTACCTTCAGTGATAAAGGAAGACAGAGGATAATGCTGAGTCATAGAGGACACGTCACATTTGTTCATGCAGAAGTGACAAAGGTCACATTGACATGCAGACGTGACACAGGTGTTTTTAGATCCCTGATCGTTGTCGTCACTGACTCCACAAAAACAAAATCTGATGTTCACACAGTTCTACAGGAAAAACATTAATATCCAACACAAGGCACATTCAGCTTTAACTACTGCACTTATTTCTATGTTCCTGCAACCTTTGGCCCACAATAGGCTATTTATTCCCCAGGTCAGGTGATTGGTGGCGTTTGAACCATGCACCAGCTCACGTCTTGTTCTGATGATCTTGCGAGTCATGAATGTCGTTGGGAGGGGGGGGGGGAACAAGTGACTTGCACACTTCTCCATCTGGTGCAGACATCAATACACAAACAGATCTTAGGTTTCCGTGTAAGTGAACTGGCATCTGTTTGCAAGACTGTTTTTCAAACAACAGCTCAACAGCTTTTGCAAAACATGCAAAATTGGATTTCATTTGGAAGAGACCTACATGTACATGAAAGCTCCAGGAATTTCTACCCAGAAGATGTGACTGTTTTACAGAAGTGGGTTTAATTTTGCCGGCATATTTCCAGGCACTGTAGATATCTGAGCACAGACAGTTTTCAGAGAGCAACTGGATCATCTGACACCATTAAATAGGTCCTTCTGTGTTGTATATTTTGAGTAACGCTGAAATTAGTAAATGTTATATAATCATTTTCATGATACAGACATTTTACTGGGGGGACGGCAGGAAGAGCTCCCGTAAAAAGTCTAAAAACAGCTTGGGTCCTGTAATGAGCATCACTGGTTCATTTTCACCCTCATAAATAGAGGACATTGTTTTGGATTGCTAAGCACTGATGGTCACAGGTTACCAGCTAGCTTTCTACAGACACAGCATCATATCTCTGTGTTAGGAGGCCATTAAAGCCTTGTGGGAAATGCAATGACATGCAAAGAATTCAGGAATTTATCAAGGTCGAAACCAGACGAGTGGTTTTACTGTTTCCTGCCTCACATTTTAAATCTGACAGGTCATGGTGAATCAACTTTCACTTAATGATTGCGTAATAAAAAATATCTGTGTTTTTCTAAAAGAAGGCAGGGGAAGGAAAAGACACGGGAATGAGACAGCGGATTTGGTCTTGTGTGGATTTGCTGTGTCAGGTGACCGGGTGAGGACGCAGCTTCTCAAACTGCAGAAAGCTTAAAGCTGCAGAGTGACAGGCCAGAGAGAGAGAGAGACAGAAAAACTGTAGAGTTGCCGTACAGTCCTTGCTTAGTGTGTGTGTGTGTGTGTGTGTGTGTGTGTGTGTGTGTGTGTGTGTGTGCGTCAGTGAGAGGCTAACAAGTTCACTTCGACCTGCTGATGTTTCTGGAGGCCATTTGCAGACTCTTGTGCCGTCTTGACACAGTGTGACTTTTGTGCAATTAGAATCAGGCTCAAACTGACACCTGAAGAGCTGCTTTGTCAGCAGAGCTCATGTGTCGTAATTTTCTTTCTCTCTGGGACTTTCTACTCGATTAGTCAGAAACATAGTTTTAAGATTAAGGCCTGTTGCTGATGTTTGTGAATTTGTTATGAAAACGTGTGGTTGCCGTTCACACATTTGCTTCAGCTGCTGAGTTGACAGACTTAAATTTACCTAATTTGAAAACAAGACAGTCAGATAATAGAACAGATGATACTGAGACATGATGTAGCCATGTTTCTCATGTTGAGTCTCACGTGTATTTGAATAATTATATTTGTTGTACATCTTGTTAATTTCTCTCCTGCATCTTGAGCTAATGTATTTTACAACCTTATTTTTGGGGGGGTGAAATGTCCGTATGTATAAGCCCTCTAGGGCTTTTCATCTTTTCATCTCACCAGCACAAACTTTTTAAAAAATAATCCTAATACAGTATATTAATAATGTATAGTGAGTGTGCAGACACAGTAGAACTAATTGTTCAACCAACTGAAAGATGAATTAAGTATAGCTCATTTCAAACTGTGCAAGCGTCAACAGAGATAAACAGATGAGTCATTGACAGGTAATAAACATTAAAGACACAATATACAGGAACATAAATGGTAAAAAATAACTAAACAGGATGAAATAAAAACAAATAGAGGTGTGAGACTGCAGTAAAAATAGAAAATTACTAAACATGTCGCAGGCATTAATAGTTTTTACTGCTTTTGGTGTTTTGAGGGGAGTCGCCCTGCGTGTGCGCGTCAGGCCTGTGCCGAGTCTGACGTCCTCTCTTCGTAGGTGCTTACGTCATGACGCTGCCAGCTGATCGGAGTGGGAAACCGGGTGTGTGTCTGACTTGTGTGTGAGTGTGTGTGTGTGAGAGAGAGAGAGAGWGAGAGAGAGAGAGAGAGAGAGAGAGAGATAGAGAGAGGAGTGGAGCAGGAGTTGGGTAAAAGGGGCTGAAGTCCTGCGTCTTCTCCGCCGCAGCCGCTGCGCGTAAAAGTCGCCTCAGATCCACAGATTGAACCCGGTGCCAAACCGTGTTTTACGCCGTGAATCGTTGTGCGGTTGAAACAAACCAACTGACAGCGACACACCCTGCTGAAGCTCCGGGACTCCGCCGAGCAGTGGCCGAAGGAGGAAGCCTGAACTCCGCCGGGTCCGCTCGGGATGGGCTGTCCACGCCGGAGCGACCCGGCCGCCGGTCAAGGTGGGGCTCAGTACTTCAGTGTGTGCGTGTGCGTCTCTGCCGGCGATATGCGTGTTCCTGTCCGCATGATTTAGCCCGTGGCGGCTCGATGACCTAGTTTGCGTGGAAACGACAACTGGGATTCATCCTTCATACGACTTTATGAAGTCAAACATCACCTCTGCAGGTCAGATGTTAGTTTTACAGCGTCAGATTGTCGAGGTTATGGATGTGATGTGATTGGAGTTGAGGCTCAAGGCCTGTGTGTGTGTGTGTGTCACATCATCCAGGCCCACTGACTGACACTACAGGATTTACGGGCAACCTAGAAATTTGACATTTTGCCACCATAACCTCTGAGCTCCTGCTAAAATGTAATCCAAAGTCATATCATTGACACTGTGAAACTGTGGGCAGAGACTTTGTTAAAGTGCTGCATGGACTATTCCACCGATGAAGAGATGAATGAAACGTGCTAAATAGTCAGGATAATATCTGAATTAAAACAGAAACGGCCTGTTAAAGATTTACAGACTTTCATGTAATGTTCCAATCTATTATATGTCATAACTACCACAGTACATTCAGAAAAACCATGATTCTGGTGCTCAATCTTCGAGAAAAATCATCCAGTCAAATGTCGTATTTTTAGACCATAAGCAGACGTTGCAGTTGCAAGTTGAGGTCTGCACTAGTGGAATCCAATCTTGTCAAAATGTGTCCGTGTTCAAAGCCTCTTAAAATCTGCTGAGCTCATAACAGGCCCGAGGAATAAGCCTGAGCTAGAGTAGGGGATAGGTGAAAATCTAGGAGAATATCTGAGGCAGAGTCTTCTCTGAGAAAAGTGGTGACGGCAGCACTCATGTGGCGGAGGATCCTTCAAATGAAATAATTACACCAGTTAGTTATCGAAGATGTTTGTCAGAATCAGTTTAACATTCCTGAAGCGGGTGACGTAACAAAGTATTTAGGCCTCCCTGTTCACCTCTGGGTCTCCTCAGCTCGGATACAAGTCTTTGACAGTTCTACTCTTATTAAGCTACATGAAAGGTTTTAAAAGCAGAGTTAAATTAAGTATGAGAAGTCTCTCTTTGGGATAAATGCTTGTGGGGGAGGGAGGGAGGGAGCTGTAGTATATATTACATCGATGGAGCCTGTCTTATATAATTGTACAGCCAGAGTTCAGTGCACCGGTAGGAATGCTCAATAGGCTGTGTCACGAGCTGCATTTCTGCCACTGCAACCCTGGAGTGTGACATAAGCCACTCCGTCAGCGAGGATCACATGGCAGTGGCAGCGTGTCAGTTAAAAAGCAACTCGTAGTCGTCTACATGTGTTTGTCCTGTGTCCAGGCAAAACCCAGCAACCTCGCCCGTGCCGTGCTGTCTCCCAGCCTTGCGTTTGCAGAAGTGAAGCCATTTTGCTCAACTTGGGTTACACCCTTCATTCCTATTGCGTGCCTTGTCATGGGAGGATGGGGCAAGAAGGGATGTGTTATGTAGGTTCAGTCTTTTCAGAGAAAATGGCACAGACTGCCTGAGGAGGGGCTTACAGGCCTCGTACATTAAACCACCTCCCAGGATGTCATGAATTCAGAATGGTATCCGGTAAGCAAATAAAAACACGTCGTGGTGATCTCAGGGTTAACGGGAGATGGCCTTTTAAAGTCCAGCGAGCAGCAGAGCACCGCACTAAGGTCAGAGTGTTGCCAAAGCCACCACCCTTTCCCTGTCTTTGTCCCCATTCCCAGTCTGAAATGATCAGTGTATGTTGAAGACTACAATCTGGGGCAGTAAACACTCCATGTGGGCCACACCCACAGCAGAGGAATGCACCTGAACTAATGTATGTCATTGACGCACAACGGTTCATTATCATGTGTGAGTATATGCAAATCTGTAAATCTGTCAATTCATGTGATAAATCTGCAGTTCCTCATATTTTCACCAGATCGAGGTTGTAGGTATCTTATCTCATCGCCTCCTGTGGTATTCTCACACAACAGCGTCACCACGTGAATGAAGAGACCAAACGAGTGGTCACGAAGCACAGGAAGACGTCTGTCTGTCCCTTTCTGACGGGGATCTGTCTGTCCCACCCTCCATCTTACACATTCTGCTCAGCTTCTATAGGAGTGCGCTGCTTCTACCTATATTTTCTGTGTTACACAACTTCAAGCTCCCTTGATAAACACATTCAAACTCCGCTCTGGCATTTTGTGGCTAAGGCTCGATGAGACATCCTCCCAAATGTCAATAATTCCTCTTTTCTGTGTGCACGGTTCATTCACACCCTGTTTACACACATCACTCCTCTTTCTCTCAGACACGCACATCCTGCCAATTCCACTCCAGCTTGTCTTTTCCTCTTTCTTACCCTCCCTATCAAGCTCAGCTCTTTTGTATATCAGACTGTGTGTTATGTCTTTTTACACTGTTGCCCCTGTATAAAAGCCTGTCTCAAGGCCTTCCATGCCGGCTGTTATGTGGCTCTGTCTGCCTCCCTCGCTCCATCAGGACAGAATGAAAGAGTAAGAGAGAGGGGGAGGCGTGAGGTGCAAAAAAAAAAGAAAGGCGAAAGGGAGGTGAGGGTGAACCTGATGGTGAAGCCACGTCCGCCTTGTCTGGTGCAGACCAGATGTAGACAAGCACACAGAGTGGGGATGGGTGAAGGATAGAGGGATGGAAAAGGAGGAGTGGAGGAGACCGTGCGAGCCCACAGCAGCCGGATGGAATTTCTAACATACGCAGCTGGAATGTCAGGAATGCAGGACAGTCTGATCTGACCGAGAGAGAGAGAGGTTGGAGGGGACAGACTAGTCAGGAAAGACTGGAAGAGAAGAAGAAGAGGAGGAGGAGACATGGGAAATGGTGGCACAGCTAAAGGGTCTCAGGGTTCAACACTGGCCGTCATTGTGAACCTAAAGATACAGAGTCGCCGTTTGTGGAGGCAGTGACACGCTATGGAACAAATCGCTAATTCAGTTTCAGTTTGAGGTTGTGGTAGCCTCAGTCAACAGTTAGGAGTGTCACTGGTCCTGTGTGTGGCCAGAGGACTTGTACTGCACGTCTTCCTGCCTGAATGCGTTCATACACTGGCGTGAGCGCGTGTAGAGCCCTGCGGGGGTGGGGCGGTGGTCCACCATATGATACTGCTGGGAAGTAGCTTTTCTTTCAGGATCTGCCGGCAACATTTTTTTTGCAACGAACACTGGAAACAAAGAATCATTTTATGAGTCATCTTCAAGATTCCAAAAAATCGAAAGGTCATGAAATTTGGTCCAGATACACTCAGGGTGCCCAGTTTTGTTGACTTGTGTACTTACATTATCCAAAATGTGTCCAACAATGTTCAAATGCAGATAAATCTCCCTTTCATTTTGGCCGCCTTTTAATTGCATCATATTCACTCTACCCGTCTCTGCTTTAACATCCGAGGCAAATGACGTATGACGAAAGAAAAACTCACTGCTAGCCAGTAAGCCAGTCTACGTGTTCGTAATGAATCATGATTATTCGTCGCCATTTGCTCCATGAAGTGAATAAAACTTTATCACATTACCTCATTCGTGAACACGACCGGCACGGGAGTTACGTCAGGTAGATTTCAGTGGCAATTGTGATGAACTCCCATGATCCCATGGGGCTTCACAACATCATCAAACAAGGTGTTTTGGTTTTATTTTGATCCAGGGGCCCCTAGTGGCTTAGATACTTATTGTACGTTTGAAAAATGGTACTAGCAGATATCTTTTAGTGTTTTTTTAAAAGATAAAGAGTAGTAGATTTAGTCAAGGACAATTTTATTTGTGTCACAAGTCAGAACAGGCAGTCAAACCGTCTGCATGACTCACCCATTTAAAAAAAGGTTGATATGTGTCATGTAGATACATTTGTCAGAAGGTGGAAGAAAGTCTTATCAGTGTTTGTCCATGTACGTGTAATATTAATGATCTCTGTTATACGTCTGAAGTGACTCTCCGACACGCTCAGGATGACGCCTAACTAAAATCCAAACCAAGTGTGAGACAGTTATTTTTCCCCAGCGGCCATGTCTGTAAAACCTTCATAAGTCTGGTTGATTGTGACCCACCCTCCCCTGCTGTGCGCCGTCTGCAGGCCACAGGCCGCTCGAATACCTGAGATTATTCTGCTTCTCCTTAGAACAGGAATGTACAGCATGTGTTACTCATCGTCAAGCGGAGAAGTGGAGCATGTCCTCAATGTCTCCGGATCACCGCAAGATTACATTCTTTGAACGCAAGAAAAGCACAGACATGCTTAAGCTTTACACGCACTCGTCGATCGGTGCGTAACCTCTCTGTGAATGTTCTATCTTCATTTAATTCTGGGAAAAACCCAATAGATTAATAGATTGATCGATTATAAATATTATAGTTGTTTTTTCAAAATAAAGGTCATGCTAGCTGTTGTGGTGTTGTACTTCAGCTAACACGCTCAACATGACGGTGCTAAAATGCTGATGAGCAAATCAGACGAGGACTTCCGCAAGGATTCTGGGATCTTTCATGTAAGCGGCTGTCGACTCCACTTGCTCGTGCCTCGTAACCACGGTAACTGACATTAAGGAAAAAAAGAAGGAGAGTTTCTCTGGAGGCCGGCGTCTGATCCGCAGCATCATAACTGAGAGAACATCTAAGAATTTCTTGCCGGTGCTGTGTAACATGCAGAGGCAGAGCTGAGCTGCTGATGCATGTTTCCCCCTCTGGTGATCTGACACATGATCCTGTGTGTATCTCTCCTGTCGTTCTTACATATCACCTCGTTTCACCCACTTACTCACAGCTGATCGCACACACCACTGCACTCACTTTCTGTGTGTGTGTGACTGGCTGCAGGCCACCTCATACCCACGCTACGAGCTGAGAGTTTAGAGGGGAAGTTAAACTGACTCTTCTTCCTCTCTTTCTGCAGGAATCTGTGAGCAGAGGAAGGGAAGAGGAGTCTTGCCTCGTCCTCCGTCACCCCGGGCTGTCTGCTTCAAGCTCTCACGCTCACTGGCCGACTCCCGGCACCTCCCCTCGCACCCTCGGCCCCCAAATGGCTGACGCACAGCAGTTCTTCACTGGCGAGCTTTATGTTCCTGTACACATGCTAAAGCTGCCAGCTGAAGAACTGTTCTGGTCTGCCCTGCCCCGGACGACTCGAGGAGAGGAAGCTGACAGCTGAAGGTGGGAGGGGGACTGAGGAAGGAGGCAGTTTCACACACTCGGTAGTTAAACTGGACTTGTACAACCGTTATTTATATTCTTGTGCTAATCACATGTAAGGTTGTTAAAAATATTAATATGCTCTTGTCTAAGTTTAATGGTGACAGATTTGCAACTTTAGTTTTAGTTAATGTGTCAAACTGGTAATCTGCTGGTTAAAAGCACCAATAAAGTATTAAAAGTCCTGCATATTATTTTCTTGTGTCCTAAATATTTACTGTAATGTAAGTTTTAAAATGTTTTAATGTTTTTTTTTCGCAAAGAGCTGCTGTCTGGAAAGTATAATTTCAAACTTCAACATTCTTCAGCTAATGACTGATGATTTTAATTGTTCGTCCATCCGTCTCTTATTCATCTGTATCTTCTGTGATATTAAACACATCTTGAGAAAACAGTTTGTCTTTGTTACATGACTCACATTACATTGACACTGCAAACATTAGCAATGGTGACTCTTGACTAGAAATGATTAAAACAGAGGCACAAAAAGAGGCAAATTAAAAAACATTTCAATCCTAATTTTTACTTTCAAGAGAGATCAGAGGAAATTAAGATGCTCTTGTTTAAGTTTAATGTTGACAGATCAGCAATAACTTCATGGTTATCTTATCTTTAATCTTCACATAAAAGGTCAATTAGCTGATCAGGGCCACATCCAGTTAGACTGTGACACATAGACCAGAAAGGGGAATCTGCTCTTCAGGGCCAATAGGAATTATCAGCTGCAAGGGTGGCTCGGGTCTGAGAAAGAAAGTGCACGTAAAGTGTCTGTGGGTGAAGGGACCAATCAAAGGATTTCTTTAAATTTAGAAATCATAAAGTCATCTAACTGGACGTCAATGATATAAACTATAGAAAAATGGAATTTAACTTCAGAGTTCATGTGCAGCTCATTTCATTTTCTGAATAAATCTCTTTATTCAATTGAAGATGAGATAAAACTGGAATGGGCCTTGGTGCATTTGGTCAAAACTTCCACTAGATGGGGATCTAATCTCTAAAACTAAGGTTTAAAAAAGTAAACAGAGTCAGTTACTAGCTCCTCTTGTGGATAAACACGGTATTAAATCTCTGATGTGCTGAATTCTCCATTTAGATGTAAGAAGAATCAAAGGCTGATATTTAACGGTCTTCATCCAGTGATATTTGAATGAGTCTTTCTCTTTCCCCAGTCCACTTGTTGTTAAGTTAGTTTATCAACTGCAGTTATGATTCATCGTTCAGAAAGTGCAAATATCATATACTCCACTGATATTTAAATAAAAAAACATAATTTCCAGGACATTTGCAGAAATCTTTAACAAAATCTAATCACACATTGTTCAAATCAAGAAAATTGTAAAATTACAAATGAAAAATCAGCAAATTGTCAAAGCAGAAGTATCTCAAGTTAAAGTATTAGTTGAGCACAATATCCTAGGACTGAGTGTTTTTCACAAATATTTCTGATGCATTAATATGTAACCACTCATTGCTGCATTGGAGCTCATTTTGATGCATAGGACTGTATACTGAGTATATTTACTGAATTGAAGTATCATATGTTGAGGAACTCTGAGTTGTTCCTTAACCCTAACCCTGTGTACTCCATTACATTTATTTGGCAGCTTTAGTAACAGTTGCTAACATTTGAATATATATACATATATCATCATAACAACACACTGCTAAAAATAACGTTATATATAACTAGGCCATCATGCAGCTTCATCAGCTACATAATTTAAAGGTTAATCACATATTAATGCATCAGTAATAATAATCAATATTTTAATACTGTTACATTCATGGTCGACTGCCCATTCGGTCTAGCATATCGACCCAAGCAACATTTTTGCATGTAATGAAAAAACACATGCTCCTATTACCTATTTTTGTACATATTGGTCAATCTTAGTGCCGGGGCTGCACTTTAGGTGGCGCTATTCAGCTAGAGAGACATTTCTAAAAGCTGCATGATTATAACATGATCCAGGTTGGTGAGAGAGAAAGAATGTGCCAATTTCAGAGAGAGAGAGAGAGAGAGAGAAACCATGTCAGCCTCCTTCATGCTTCCTGGTAAGGTCTTATCACCATCCATGGAATTTTATTTTGAAAATCCAGCCTCCTTATGTGTCTATGTAGTAGCAGTGAAACGCAAAATAAAAGCTCTGCCCTCACTGGGTCTTGAACTTGTGACCTTTGAATCACTGGTCACGTGTCTCTAAAGATAGAGACAGATCTAAGCTCTGGTGCACCCCTCCAACAAAACCTGAACATCCTATCTGTGAACTAAAACCACTGTGAGAATCCTAAGACTTAGCAGAACGTACAGATATATTTTTATTAGATAAGTTAAGACATGTGTCTGTGGGAGCAACAAAATTGTTTTCCTTCCTGAAGTTTTTTCTCAAAATTTACATTCAATACAATGGAGAGGTGAAACTGGAAAAAGATTTTTTTTTTAAATGATAAAGCCAAAAGTTTAGCTCAGAGATTCAGTGACATGTAAGCGAAGCTAACACCTTCTGCTTCGCTTTGATCTAAAAATCATGTCTAACAACCTGTTTGTGGCTTTGAGAGCAGTTTTAGCCCAAACAGTCTTTTTCTCACTCTCGCTCTTTTCGACCGCTTTTTCGCGATTTGTGAGCGAAATATTTGACATAAGTCTTAGAAAAGTCATAACCCGAGCAATAACCCAAACAGGGCTTAATAGTAAACATTACTATTTCAACAGGGCCTTCGCACTGTCAGTGCTCGGGCCCTAATTATTCTCAATTCAAATTGTATTTTGATAAGTATAGGGTGTGGGCAAGGAAATATCAATTAACCAATTTATTGTGTAGAACAAGGAGGTTCCTGCAGCCGCTGACCCCCGTGCGTAAATGGAGAGCTTTTACGCACCGCGTGTGTTGGCTCCAAGAGACGTTTAACTTGGTTGTTTGTTTTTTGCAATGTCACATCAATAAGCCTCGCCTGGTGCATGAGCAGGACTCGGACGATGGGAATGAGCTGTGCAGATGTGAGGGGATGCGGTAATACTTCAATACTTAGAGAGAGAGAGAGAGAAAGAGAGAGAGGGGCGGGGGAGGATGGGGGAGGCAAAACGTGCGTCCAGACGCTCACCATCAACTAAACGTGAGAGGGACCAAGACATCAATAACATCGAGCTCATCAATAAGACATTTTGATGGAGTTAGACTGCTTAATTAAATAGATTAGCTTGGAGGTATTAGCCTCTCTGAATTTATAATATTGAATCTGATGACCCCCCATGGAGAAGATCTGAAGGAAGACTCCTCAGCATCTCCATCCACAGGACAGCGTCTCCCTCCCTCACTCACACACACATTATAAGACTTCCTTATCTTTCCGTGATGGCCATCAACACTGATGCCGTCTTTGGGAAAAGTGCCCTCGGCGAGAGGGAAATTTCAAACCCCACTGACTTCCAGGACACGGAGAAGCTGCTGGGCGCCGCTACCACCGAGCCCGGCGGGCAGACCAACATCAAACCGTCCGACTCCTTCTCCCTCAACATCCGAGGGAGCGTCCGGTCCCTGGACGCGGACCAGACCGGACACAGGTCGCCGCTGAAGTCGGGCTCCGTCGGGCAGCTGGCGGCCCCACCCAAGTCCACGTCCCGGCTGAGCCTGGGCCAGCTGCCCTCCCCGGTGCCGCCCGGGTCCGTACCCCCTACTTACCTCTGGCTCGCCGTGCTGTCCTGCTTCTGTCCCGCAGTGCCGCTCAACGTATGCGCCCTGTGGTACGCGAATGTGGTGAGTGTTACATCCACTTACTCCTCTAATTCCCATCCCATGTGAACTAGGATTGTCTCTGTGCTTTGGATGTTTGGGTGTATTTGAACATACCCTCAAACACTACAGGTGTTTTGTTGCTGTGTTGGATTTCAATAATTCATCATTAGTCACTTCCTCCCCTTCCCCATTAGTCCAGGTCTGTTCTCCATACAGGGGATATTGATAGAGCCAGGAAATATGGGCGTCTGTCTATGCTGCTCAGCTGTCTGGCAATTCTGCTGGGTGTGGCTGTCATCATCTTCATAGTGTTTACAATAGGTATGGAAAAATAAAAACATGGCAAACACACTCACAGCTCAGTGTGAAGCTGTGTGACTATATTTCTCCCTTCTCTGTCTATCAGAGCTCCAGCAGTGAACCCTGGGATGGAAGGAGTCACACAACCGACTCCTTGGACTTCACCTGATCTCAAATTTGCACAAAAGAGATGAGGAAGAAGAAGAAGAGGAGGAGGAAGAGGAGTGAAGACAAAAAAAGCACAAATCTTGAGTTGAAAACAAGTTTAGGAGACTCTTGATTTAAAAATTGTTGCTTTTTTTCTGCTGAAAAGAGAGAAAGAAAGAAAAGAAAGGAGAGGAGTCACCGGCTCTTTTTTCTGGCAACACTCACGTCTATTAACCCCACAAACTCAGGAAACAAAGGGAGGAGGATGAAGGCTGCACGCTCTCATCATGTCAGTTCATCACGCAGCACATCCTGGGAGAGAGTGGAAACTGCTCATAGTCTAAACTAGTGGTGCACTGACAACACAGACAATTGGATGATTCTACATTTTGATTATGAGGCACAAAAAAAAAGATGGCATCAAAACACGACAAAAAAATCCCAAAACACGTAATAAGATTTGCGTGTGATGTGAATAACAGAAGTCATCAGTGAACCTCTGGTCTGTTTGTCCTAACATTTAACTTCCGGAAGAACTGACTCTCCTTTCTGTTCGCCACAGGGTGTTTCATGGAAGCATAAGCTGATTTCATACACCGTTTACATAAAGCTGTACACAACGCCCCGCTGCAGTCGTAGTGTGATCTCTTGCTTCGCGTGCTACTATGATAAAATGAACTGACTCTACTGGAACTGCCTGGATCTCTACACCTCATTATGTTTACAATATACTGCAAGATATGAGAAAGGGGCTGTTCCCCCTGTATGCACTGTTCCTGGCACTCTGATGTTGATGTTTATACATTTATACTGTATGACTGGTTAACGTGCCATAATTCTGCATGTCTGAAATAAACTTGAATGAGCATGACACACTCAGGAGTGAGATCGTCCTCTTTATTTCGGTCAGGCACCGTCAATACCATAGAAAAAGTGCGAAATGAACGGTACACCATGTCAGTAAAATCTTACTTCATACATTTATAAAGATTTAAAATTACAACAGAGCACAAGCAGCAATATATAAATTCAYGATGAAAACGTGAACATTGTGTAGAAAATAAATAAAACTCTCGAGTGTGAGAGCTCAACAAAACCACACTTTCAATTAAGCCCTAATGTGATGAAGCTTAACATTTCTTTCTTCACTGRTCTTTTAAGGAAAGTTCATTACAATAGAAGGAGACATATAAGAACATCTCAAAACAATATCTTGGCAACAGTGGGACTGATGAATATTTGAAAATTAAAGTAAATGATGACCAAGTGACGTATTGAATCAGTGGAAAGTGTAGAGCAACAGGAGTATGGTGCAGACYCCGATCACCCCGCCTAGGATTAGAGAGTCACGCCTCTTGCGCAAATTGATTTTCTGGATGAGACTGTTGATGGCGGGGAAACGATCTGAGGGGCAGGGAAGTGTGGTGAAGGAAAAATAATTAAGATCCAAGTCGGGCTTCCCTCGCTTGCAGTGAGCAAGAGGCAGAAAGCAGTGGAGAACATACATCAGCAGGGCTCTTCAAGCAACCAGGGGGGAGAAAAGGATAAATGGAGCCTGATCGTAAAGTCTACTGTGTCATACAAGCTGTCATCTCTGCATAGCATCAGCATGTGCTGAGACAAATATGTGTAAATGTCCTGTCAAAAGGTAAAACTGAGATTTTATTTTAACACACAAAGTGTAGAAGTCTGGGTAAAGAGCGAWGGAGGAGAAATGATTAAAATGATAAAAAGGATACTGGCCAAAGTTGTAACCCTGGTTTGAATGGACTTCAGCATCCCACGCTGAAAAGTGATGTTCTCTTTGGTCGACATGGCGATACTGGACGGAGATAGAGCACAAGGGATTAAATGAGGGATGCAGTTGTCGTCACAGCATCACATTACGTTTAATGATTTTTTGGCCAAGAAGCAAAAAGTTACGATAGCTTGTTTTAACAGATCTGAATGGGCTGTTTGTTCATGATGTGTGTGTTTGTGTGTGTGACTGAGTTGAGTGAGTGATTGAGAGTAAAAGGGAAGAGGAGGAGAGTGAATGCAGCAATAAAGCTCACCTTATTGCATTGTCAATAAGCRGATCGGAGCTGTGAATAAGAAATGGAAAAAGGACAAGTTGAAAGACACTGTAACGCCTTCATTTGAAGCCCATCATCACTTTCACAAACAACATTTTGATATGATTTGAAGCACACTGGAAGGAACAAAGGAAAGCCTGTGCACCAAACCACACAGCTCTTTCTTTTCGATTATCATAAAGGGAGCACTTCCTGTGAGTCCCGTGAGACAGGAGAAAGTGCTGGTTAATGGAGGATTCTTTAGAACGTCACACTGATTGGTCAAATCCGACCCCGACAGAGCAGAAGCCAGTTCATCTCTACAACGCATACACTGGATGAATATGTATTTAGGTGCATATGAGCAAAACAGCAGAAGGACGTTCACATCAGCTGCCTTTAACTGCTGAGGTACGTGATGGAGAGAAAAATGAAATGTTCAGTGTTCAGGGCTGAGCAGAGCACATACAGGCTGCAGTGTGCATCCTGGCAGACTCAAGCTGAGACAACAAAATCAATACTGTGCTTCATACTTCCTTCATCTATCTGTCCACCTCTTCCACTATCTATCTACTGCTGTCCTCGGCTTTTTCTCTTCATCTTTCATTAGCTGGCAGAGTCCACAGGGAGGCAGCTTCTTACTTATTTCCAGCTTCTTCTTTTTTWAAAAAATTACTTTCCTCACACGTGAAACTACTTTCCTCGCTCACTACACAGTGATCTCATCGCCTTTACATCAAGTTTGTAAACAGTAGTTTTGGCTTAGCAGGGCTAATGGCGACATTACTGCCACATTCAAAATCTAAACTGTCTTTGTCAAAATCACTTTCCTGTGCTCAGAGTCTCTCTCCTCCCTCTTACTGCGCTGCTTAAACACAATCAACACAACCTTTTTTCGAGATAATCTTTGTCATGTGCTGGCCTGCTGCCCTATCATTTCACATCATGAGCAACACTTGTCGACAATCATATATTTCGCAATTGAATTCTCTAGAAATGCAGGTGTAACCATCAGAACTGGCTTTCATCCACTACTGATTGCGCTTCCAGAGAAGTACCATTGTTCAAAAAGTGTTTCGTCTATCTAATGACAGTTTTATGACTAGAGTACCTRAAATATCTGAAGGAGTGAGCTCCTCTTTGTCAGACTTCTGCTTTACATTGTGGTGTTGAGACCTCCGTCCTATTCAGCTGAATATAGACTTTGATATATTCTTAGATATGTTCTTGGTTATTTTCTGTTATATTCTCTGTTGTTTTTCCTGCTTGAATAAATTCACAAAAAAGAGTTTGATCTGAGAATTCTTATTTTGTTGCTCTCACCAAGAATTTCCACCACTACAACAATAAACACACCAACACACATACCTGTATATAGTGAGCACATTTCTACTTTGTTTGTGTGTTTTTACTTTCATTACTTCTATAAGAAATGRTTCATCACACATGCTTTCTGTATATTAATGTTGCCTGAGTATGAATTTTGACAACCTCTACAATTCCCAAAACTCCAAAGCCTTCAACTTTGCTCACTCTTGATAAGGAGATTTTGGTTACCGTTCTTAAGGTCATTATTAATCAAAGTCCAAAATTCCCAGTTAGTGATTTTATGAAACRGAGTCATTAAAGTGGCTTTCTTTTCCCTTTCTTAGAAGTTTTCTGTAAGTAAGTGAACGAGTATGGGATAAAGTTCTAGTACGGACCCATCGAGAGCTCAGTTCCTGAAACAACACTTTCTTGTTTGTCATACAAGATTGGAGGGAATATAAAAAACGTTCTTGCTTACTGATGCAATCAATTCTCAAAAAACAAAATACCTGTTAACCATATTAGTAAGTTCCTTTTCCACGGAAATGAAAAGGCATGTTCGGGACACATGGGACAGCCCAGTGTCTCCCCCTTAAATTGAAGCTCAGCTCACAGCCCAGGACAGACGACTGAGACCACAGGTAGGATAAAGACTGCAGGTATGTCAGCTGCCACACATCGAGCTCATTTTCTTATACTTTGTGRATTTCAATTTCAAATGATGGAAACACCATAAACTCTGAATAAGTGTTTGGGCATTTTATCTGAATCCATTTTCATAACTAACTCTGTTTTTTCCTTCCTTTCAGTCATTCTCTGGATTTTAGAGGGAACAATGTCAGGACYTTGTCAACCTAAATGCAACTCAGGTAAGAAGTCTGACCACAGAGCCCYACCAAATTATCGATTGGCAGATAAAATCTGCTGATATGATCAAGGTTTATGTTTGGCGTCATGAAAATGTTTATTTGAGAGATTAAACAAAGCAGAAAAGATCATTTTATTAATTCAACTTCTATATATTTGGCTGTATTTGTGTTTTCTTTTAAGTTAGAAGTTAACTGTTGAAGCCTCTTTACAGGAGGAGATGGGGCCAACATTACCCTGGGCGGCATGACTGGCATCAATGTTGAAGGGCAKAACTGTGGAACCATTGGGATAGGGAATAACATGGAAGGTGAGTTGTTTCACATGTTTCACATCATCATCATATTTCTGTGACTTTACTCCTTCTCTCCAATCTTCATATTTAACAGTTGGACAGAAAGGCAGCGTGAAAACTGGAGACATGAAAGATGTTAAGGTCAAATGCAACGAAGGAGTCATCGGCATAGGAAACAACTTGTGCACCAAATGAGGTGAGAAGATCAGATGTATTTGTCTGACAGTAACAGATGTGTGCATATGACATACATGTGTGTTAATTCTCCTTTTGAATGTGTCATTTCTAAAAATATAATACTTTTCCCCATCATGTATTGTACTCACTCTTTTTTTCTTTCCCCCTTTTAGAAAGCTGCCCTCCGACTGATAAACAACAACTCATCTAAAATAATAAACTATTTGGTTTCATGTCATTTAACACAAATGTCTTTTACAAAGTATTAAAGATTGGATTCATCATAGAGTTGAGAGATATTAATGATAATAAAGACCACATGCAATACATGCAATACTGTCTTGGGTTGAATATTTACAATGTTTAGTTATCTGTTTTATATCTGACCTTGATGAACTCTGAGGGATTCAATGATTTCTAATAAGTTTTCATGATGCATCAAAATACCGTGAAGACATTCTTTCAAATCCTGCTTTGTCTTGTGCGATAACACAGAAGCAGCTATTTCAAATCAATAATCACTTACATGTGTTTACATAGTTTGGTTTTTGCTCAGGATTTTCTGAAGAATAGAAACAAAAATTAAAACTAAGGATCATACCTGCTGAAGATAACACCAAACACTTATAAAAACATATATTAATGTCACGATTATTTAACTGCAGCTAAAATGATCTGGGAGGACAATATGCAGTTATAGTCTATATCTATACAAGTTATTTATTTTGTCAAAATTTCAAGTTTGGCCCAAGTGTTAATGATAAACATGAAGACTGTAAAACAAACAAGAAATCAACTGTTAGTGAACTTTAGACGTGCTGGCAGGTGGATGTATCACCTCTGCCAAAGACTTTATGTATTTACCCATGTCTGTTTGTTGGTTTGCCAACAGTATTACGCAAAAACTACTGAACAGATTCCCGCAAAACTTGTTGGAAGGATGGGACATGGGCCAAGAAAGAACACACTTTCATCACAAAGAGACAGATCCAAGATTGTTTTTACTTCCTTAACAATGAGAGATAGGGTGTTTTTATTTTGATTGTCACCAGTTTCCTGGGGAATAATTAATGAATCTTGATGAAAATAAATCAGACATATGTAGGGGACTGATATCTGTGTGATTTGGTGCAGCTTGATTGAATGTAAGGGGACMGTTGGGCTGAGGGTCTCATTCAAGTTTGAAAGAAATTTCTTACTTTCTGAGATGTTCATGTTCCTTGAGGAAGAGCTCAGTCTTTCTGTTATTCACTCCCGAGCTGCTTTTGTAAGACCTGCACAATAAAACAGGAGCAAGAGAAACAACTACTGATTAATCAATGATAAGAATAATAGTTTTTGGCAGCCCAAAAATACAACCACCTTTTTCATACCGTATCAAAAGAAAATAAGTACGCACACATTTTCTTTCTGATTAGTGACGCTATGTAGTTAAATTCTCTGACGTTTGGTTGCTTCAATAAAACCAACAACGTCTTACCCTCTATGATCACATGTAAGTCTTCAGTCTGAATGAAGTATTTCACTCTCTCCTATTAACTGATGCCTGGATGCTGATTATGTACTTCCTGCGATGAGGCTTTTAAGTGATAAGCTCTGCTTAAGCCACAACTCCATCTCTTATTTACACTGCCTGTTTGGACTGACCATCAATTCATCACACATTATCTCCTCTGCCCCTTTTCAGTCAGTCAGCATCAGCTCAGGACAATGTCTCTCCCTCCCTCTGGTCGTGCTCTCTCTGTCCGCCCCAGATGGAGCATTTCTCTGGATCAGACGGGGCAGATATAACCACTCTCTCTCAGCGTTGGCTAAATGAAAGCCTTGTGGTTTGATTTACTGTAGAAGGCACTTATGAAAGATACCCCCAGAGAAAGAAAGAAAGAAAGAGAGAGATGTAGAAAGAGAAGAGGAGATGCAGAGAGGGGGAGGTAGGTCGGCTGATGAGAGGAGGGGCCTATTTTTACAGGATGAAACATGATAGAGAGACGCAGGCTGTTAAAGGGTGGGGGAATTCTGTTAAAAACTGGACATTTCTGCCTCCTACTGGTGGATGATAACACAGCAACAGTCCACAGAGAGAGCAGAAGAGAAAATCTAATAAACTAAAATAAAAAAATGTTCACTACCTTACCCTGTGCTCCAGAAAGATGCAATTGGCATATTTCACTATTCTCTGACATTTTATTTGCTAACAATACACAATGTCTTGTATCGTATATTATTTGTATGAGGGGGCTTACTCAATGTCTCTATGAACCGAGCCCAGCAGGTCCTCTCGTTCCCGCAGGCTGAAGAAGTTGCTTTTGGTTTTGTGGAATTCATGAGTGTAGTCCTGCAGGATTCAACATTAAGAACTACAATCAAAATACTGACAATGGCAGTAGTAAGAGAAAGTGAAGTTATTGTGTGTACCTGTAAAATATCTCTGTGTCTCTGTAGGGTGTGCATCAATGCTGCGTTGTGTGATGTAACTCCTGGAGAGTTTGTGTATTCTGCCATTTTGTCATTGACTGCTGTAAGCTGCAAAAAACAGAAATTACATTTATATGGTTATTCAATATAACACTACACAACACATGAACATAAAGCAGCTATACAGCTATGACTCTTAACCTCACAAGATTAAAAAGTCAGTTTACCATATTTCACAATATTAAATTAAGTGTATTGTAAAAAAGCATAAAGCATAAAGCATAAAGCACATTTGTATAACCGGTAACCTGTAAAATAAAAAGTTCTTCTCCCATCATATAAAAACCCAGGACGACACAGAGAGCTTTGGCTGATGCTCTGTTTTCGTTCAAAGAGCAGTA